TTAGGTGGGTACTAGGTACAGACACTGGCAAAACATTTATTATTTTTAATACATTTTCAACCTTATGCTTTTGCAAATGAGTTGTTAATCTATTACAGTAACTTGTTTTCTTGTAACATTGATTGAAACATTCAGATTAGCATGAAATCGACATTGATATACATTTTAAATACAATAGACATCGAAGAATAGAGAATATATTTACTGTATCTATCTTAATACATTTATAAAACATTAATTTTTTTGTTGATTTTCTTTTTTATAACGACATTGGACTAACAACAAATAGAATATTATACCTATTGTATACACATAACAAATAACATTAATTTCTTTTTAATTTAATTAACATCAATTATAATAACTATCGTGAGACATAGATACTAAATTAACTAAAAATCGCGCGTTACTCACGTGAATATACTGACCTGCCTACGCGACTAGGCTGACGGCAGTAGGCTGCGCGACATCGCCCGTCGCCGCAACCGCGCACGCTGCTCATGAGTCTCAGTATCGTTGGCGTAGTGGTCGCAAGTACCGGGCAAAGGGTCTCGGGTTCGATTCCCGAGTCGGGCAAAGTATTACTGGGTTAAAAAGTCTCAATAGTACCACGGAGTCTGGAATTGTGCCCGGTATATGGCAATAGGTTCACCCCCTATTACATGGGAGTCATAACATAAATAGTGAAAAGTGGGTGTTACATTGTACAATGGCATAATGTGCACCTCTGCCTACCCCTTCGGGGATAAAAGGCGTGATGTTATGTATGTATGTATGCAACCCGCGATTTTTAGTTAATTTAACATCAATTATTTTAGATACCTAATAATAAAATTAGAATTACTCAATAAGTAATAATAACATATAGCTTGCAGCTACTAATATTTCAAATAGACACAACACTTAAAGTTTTCTATAAACATCAATTCAACATTTAACACCAATTAAATTTGATTAACTACACACATTAATTCAATTAACTATGTTGTACAAGGGCCCGTACATCATCAACCTACTCCAGTGTATCAATTTCTGTCATTGTATTTCTGACTTTATACCCCAACGATAGAGTTGAAAGTCTAGTAAAGAAACTCGACAGCAAAGAGTAGGTTCAACTGCTGCCTATTATACGGCTTATTCACGTAACTGTTCGACGAGGTTACTCGACTAATTTCAAGCGACAGTAGGGCTCATAATGATTATGAACCTTAATCTTCTATAGTTACCTTGTCAATGCAGTTACGCGAGTAAGCCAGACAATGTAAATGTCTTTTTTTCTTCATAAAATTGTAGACACTGATTTCTACATACAACAAGGAACATCAACATGAAAATTATATTATATAATTATTATATAGAAACATCAAACATCAATATTACTATAGTTAAAATAAATATCTTTCCCAAAATATTCTTCAGATTCTATATCAGACCATAATTTATTTTATTTATGTTCCCAGTCTGTGCTCACTGTAAAATGCCCTGCTCAGTCATTCAGCCTTTCCTTTGCCCATCATGGCCATTAAGTTTTAACTAATCCAATTTAGTGCCAGTATTTTATGGAACTAATTCATTACTTGTACTTTAATCAACCTTCAAATGAACTGTACCAATTTTATTGACTAGATTTCAGCAATATACCTTTTTATCTTATTTCAGGTATACATCCCCTGCCGCACAGCTATTGTCTACGCTAGAGTGGATTAGATTTGTAACAAAGTTGAAAATTTGGTACTTTGCACTTGATATAAAAGTATCACAATTTGATGCCAATGATTATGCTTTAAAATCAGTTGAACTTTGTTTGACTATGAAGTGTGTTATTGAAATTGCTATTTTTCGAAAGTTTTGATTTGGGGAGGTTGAGATAATGCTATTGTTAAAGTAGGTATTAATTCTACATTTTTAAAAACTGTTATTAAATAAATGATCTGTTAAAAACATTGATTTTCATTATTTATTCTTCTGGTGGTATCCCTATTAATAAATCGTTCTTAGGTGTACAGGTGGGGGGTTTCAGCTTCATGAGTGTCACTTTGTATCCCATTTCCTCAGCCAAGCGAGCCCTGTCAGAATCAATTATTGCCATGCATCGGGCACCTCTGACAGCCAATGGATGCTCCTTGTGTGTTTGGTCAGCTGCATGAGCTAAACACAAGTAATTCAAAATGGGTACACTTGTGAATGCTTGGCTCCTGGGATATATCAATCTATTTGTGTAATGGAGAGATCCATAGCAACAAGGACTGACCACAAACTTTGCTTTTGCCTGCACACATTTGTCCAGGATCAAATCAGTAGCAATACCACAAGCATGTAATCCAACACCAATGTCAAATTCACCAATAAAGAAATCTAAATTGCACTGGAAGTAAAATACATTATTGATTCGCAATTTTTGTATTCTCTCCCTGGCTGTGAACAGTGATTGCACTTTGTTCTCCAAAAATATTATAGTGCATCGTGGTAGTAGGTATGCAAGCAGGATACCTAAATGTCCACCTCCAGAGCAAAAATCTACGATGACATCTCCATCTGTAGCCATTTTCAGCACAGCTAGTACCAAATTTTCTAATTGCTGTGATTTCCTTTGGGCTCTTGTATCAGGTAGAAAGCCTGCATAAGGACTAGCATATTCAGGTATATCTTTCCATTCAAAAGCAGGTTCGTAGTTATTCTCAGATATGGGCAACTCCATTCCTTCTTTTATGAAACTTAGAGCTGCCTCTATGTCTTCTTCCCTGGTATATATCCTCTTCCTAGGATTATGCCTCTTAGGATCTGTTTTGTAAAGGCTAACATCTTCAGATGTTGGCAAGGATATATTTTCTGATGTTGTCTGTTGTATGTCAAACTTGTCCATGTAACAGACAAATGTATCCTGTACTTTTTGCAAGGACATGACTTTCTTGTACCACCTGTACGTGGTTGGCAACAGAGATTCAAACCGCTGCTCTCCTATAGTTTGTATTATTACATGGTATGTTGGCAGGAGCACAAGATCTGCGAGTGTCAAGAAAGGGCCTTCAGCATATTCATGATTTACTTGAAGGTCTTCTATTTTTGTGGTACTTTCTATTAAACATTCTCTCTTTCTGAGTGATCTCCATTTCCTTGGTTTTGCAATCCTCTGTGCAGCTGATGTTCCTTCTCCACTTTCATTGGGAGTCTGTTTATCTGCAAGTGCTTGTATCTCAGCATTTGATGATTTCTCTGTAGGGACCTGGTTATCAGTTTCGGTTTGATTAGAACTTGCTTGTTGTTCCGCATTTGCAGGTTGTTCAGTACTTGGCTTTTGTTCAGCTGTTTGTTGTTGATCATTGGCATCACCCTCCTCTATTGTAACATCTGCCTTGCTCATTACAGTTAACTGGTCAGCATCCACTGATTTTAAAATACACTTTTGCTCCTCATCTACTACTGATTCAGTCACTTCAGCACTGGGCTGTTGCTCAACTTTGTCTAGTTTCTCAACTGATTCTTCTTCTTCGACAGATTGCAAGCTACCACTGTTGCTTGCAGGTGCACCACTACTTGTACTCGGTTGTGGATCCCTAGTTCCACTAGTCTCCTGACCATCTGTTGATTTTCCCCCCGCATTGGCTCGTTGTTCTGTTTTCACACTTTCCTTTTTAATATTCCTTGCTACTTTATATATGTTATGAACCCTGACAGGCTTCCTCAAATGATGTTCGAATCTTACCAAATGTTTAGGTAATTCTTTTAACTCCACAGCATTTGTTATTTCTTGCATAGCCTTTATCATATCTATTTCGCAAAATTTTGTCCAGATGGAAACCTCATTTGGTGCTTGGAGACAACTATGGCGGAAACCAAGTAATCCTTCTTCATGTTCCTCTGGTATCCGATCACATGTTCTAAAGATCGCAATATGTCTAGCTACGGCACAGAGGCCAGTCACTATGAGATCATCGTTCATGATAACGGGATATACGCACATAGCCACTGGCCACGGTACCTCATAGTCATTTATCATATAAACGAGATTCTCTTCAGCTAATATAACAGCTGCTTTTACTTGTTCTGGTGTTGGTTTTACTGGCACGAATCTTAAAACAACAGAGGTGCTGGGGCAATATTTGAAGATGCAAAATGCGATAAATGTTTCCAGTGGCACCTTCATCTTATGAGTATCCTGGTATTCCTTGTAAAATGTGTATGTTTCCAGGTGCACTGTGACATAGGTTTTCTTTCGAAAAGTTATCCCAACCATGATGAACTTATATCACAAGTAAGTTATTCTTTCAAAATCTACGCAGTAACTTTTCCGTTTTGGTGTCCTTTATTCAGGTCGATCAATAAAATGCTGTATTTCTTTTATTTTGTAAATCTGACACTTGTGGAAGGATAGGATGAAGGTTGCAAATACCGGTTGCCAACATGAAATTTAAAACTCCACTTTTTTGATCCATGTTTCCTAGTAATTAAAGTTTATCGAAATGTCGAGAATATTACTCTCATCAAATAGATAATTAAGGCTTGATCTTTTCATTGAAGGCTTGATTTTAGTGTTGTGTTATAACTTTGTATTCATTTGGTGTCTCGATCTCGCTCGATTTTCCAGTCGAGCTAGTTAAATCACCACCTAGTGTTATTTTAGTATTTCTACAATAAATATCTTCCAATATCGAAAGAGGATTTAATTATTATGATTTTCCCTAAAATCTAGAAATTTTGTTTCAACGGTAGCCTTGAAGCAATCAATAATTTGAAGGTTTTATCATTATAGGCATCTATAGGAAAGCGAATGCTTTAACCTCCTGAATAAATTATAATAACTAACTACAGTCTGAGGTCTTTTGCAGGTTTATTGTAAAATTGTGTAAATTGTGCAACAATAAAATACTGTGTAAAAATAAAATTATCTCTTCTTTACGTTATCGGTTTGGTTTTTAATTTACAAATGCGAATACCGGTTATCCTTCGTCTTTTTATTAATTTTGAAAGCTGACGTTTTACAGTTTAGTCATATTGATAAGTGACAGTGACAAACAAACAAAATATGACAATGGTAGAGACAAAGTCAAAAATATAAAAATAAATTGAATTTGTTTGTCTGCGACACACGACACACGAAAAAGGCGGCACAAGTTAATGTTAATTAACTTGAGTTCACATTTGAATCCATTATACACAAGAACTTCCGTACTTTCCACATATTTTAGTAACACACAGTAAAGTTATAGTCGCAGTGGACAAAATGTTGGAGGTTATAAATGGATTTCTTTTGGTTTATTTTGTTGTGTTGTGTACACTCAGTGTTTTAGTCCCTCAATTAGTAAAACCAGTAAGTATCGAATGTCTGTTCATGTTTATTTTATAAATGTAGCATAGAATTAAAAAGATCCTGTTCTTTTATAGATCGCAGCATGTTTTGCTAGACCATCGAATGAGGAACGATCGGTATGGTCAGAAATAATAAAACTTAAAGCTGAACAAAAAGGGATTTCTATGAAAGATGAGTTTGCCGCTTATTCGAAGCTGCAGCGGAAAATAAATAAGCTAGAAAGCCAGTTGAAAGATGATTCGCAAACTCGTATTGGGAAGAATTTAGCGGTTAAAAGTACTGTTCAGTTGGTTCTGCAGGTTGGTGTAGGTGTTACAACCTTATTGTCTGTCATATGGTTCAGGCGGGAACCCATTGTGGCTTTGAAAGGAGACCTTTTTCCTCTAACAACTATGCTAAGGTACCCCAGTGATATGCCCAATGCCATCTCTACTCATGTCTGGGTTTTAATAACTAATGTCTCTATCAGAACTCTATTGAAACCTATAATTTCTTAATTAATTTATTAATGGTGTATTTATTTCTGTTGTTATAATAAAGGTTTTTAATTTATTATACTGTCTTTAATTTCACATAGTCAAATATTTGTAAGGTTATTTCTGTACACAAGGAAGAATGAATAAAAACATAATATTTATTTAAATATTTTATTCATTAAACAAATAATAGTACTTTATACTCAGTCCGACAAATGTCCAAATGTGGTCTCTAAATTAACATAACCATCAAAGATCTACTTGCCTATGTCTGGAAACCTTATTATGCTTAAATTATAAGTCACTCTTAACTTGAATATAATTATAATATTTAACAAACATCATTCAATCATAACAGCTATGATTGAAAGCATTTTATGCCATTGGTGTTCCCAGACAGAATAAAATCTATATAAAATTAACACAATTCTCAAATACTGGTCCATTCATACTTCATTATTGTATCATGCTATTATATTGGAGTTGTTAAACTGCCATTTATTTAAATTGAACAGAACAATATGTCAATTATGAAAAACTGTTTAAAACAAACTCAATTCAATTGAGGTGAACAGTGAACATGAGCCGCAGTAATATATATAACAATAATATAAGTATGAATAGACCACCAGATTCAAAATTCGCAAGTTGGAACAATGTGGGACAGTTATATATTTAATTTTTCCATAACTAATATTTACAAGCCCTATATCACAGCTTACGTTTTACTAGTTTGTGTGCTGAGACTGAAATACAGATTTATCAGTAAAAATATAAACTTGTGCATCAAACTTTGTGTAGTCAAATATTTTTCAATAACATTTACAATGGACGAATTCTTCAGGGAACTAGTATCGGATAACAATTGACTAGTCCAATAAAAACAGTGGGTTTCGTAAGAACTAGATTACTATAGTAAAAAGCCTGTTAAACACAGTAGACTTACACAGCAACAACATAAAATAAAAACATCAAAAAAATTAATAATTCTAACCAAAGTTCCCAAAACAATATTTCTCTTATGTTGGCACAATTTATTTCACATTCTGTGCATATAATCAGCGAAACTTATCATACTATTGAATGTAATCATCTGATGACTGATCCTAGAGTAATGATTAAGGCATTTCCATGGTTCAAGCACTTAATGAGACTAGAAACTAATGACTAAATTAATTCAGATTGCTGCATGCGGATCATTTTCATAGGGTCCAATCCAATCCTATAATAAATCAACTGAATACATAAATGTTTTCTAAAACATATTTTAATTTTGTAAAAATACAAAATTTTTGTTCATAACATTAATTTGGAAGTGCAATTATTTTATAATGTACTAGCAAAATACTTTTTAAGCAAAATTCCTTTTTAATTTTTATATCTAATAAAATTAGTTCAACAACAAGAATAATTTCAGTCATACAATATACTACGATACTAAATAATGACAAAACAGGAAAATTGCACCAATTATATATTAAAAGCTAGCATTTGATAGCATGATTAGGTTGTTGACACATATTTTAACAAATAAGATCCATTTAAAAAGTATAAGATCGAAAGTGTGGACTTTATTTGGGTCCAAAGTACAAAAAACAGAAGGAAATGTATCTTATCTGCATAAGTAGTATCACCTTGTAAGTACATTATATAAATCCCTTACATTACATACATTGACACAACAATAATATATATATATATGTATATAACTGGCCAATTAAATGTAGCCCAATTTCTAAGGATGGATATTTCGATTTCTTTCAAGCATATTTGCTTTTCTTTATAATAATTCTAAATAATGTTGCTTGCCAAGTAATGCCTAAGCTTTTTACAATTTTGAGAACATGGTGTTACGCTTCGTCGTACTACAGTGAGACTTGTGGGTACCGGAGAGCTTCCGTAATTTCTCAGCCACAACAACCATGCGATGTCTCTCAGTCTCGCAAAATGGACATTCGAGAACCTTGTCTAAACGTCGGCCTACGAAACTACTGTTTTGGCGCTCAAGGCGGCTCGGAGAAAATAAACGATTCCTAAGTAGTTAGCTAGGTGTTCTCATAGAAGGAACTATTAAAATGTGTAGTCAGTAGATACACGACTGCCTCGTATGTTGACATCATGATTGCCGTGTTTGGTATCTGACGTACTAATTGTGTGCCTAAGCCCCTGAAACGACAGAGAAGTTATTAATAATAGAATAGTTGGCACAGTTACCGAATATGTTGACTTTTGATAAGATTGCAGCACTTACCTATAGACTCCTCGGTATCCCTCCTCCTTCAGTACTGTATGCAGCGTTTGCCAGAACTTGCGGTACTTGTTACCTTCCTCTCTGAGCCGTGTTCTTGCGACCTCTGCAATTTCATAACGAAATTATGAAGAAAAATATCGTTCTAAATTCCTGTCACTTCTCGTTGATAACTTTTATCTTATTTACTTGCTATTATTAATTTTTTTTTCAAAAAATCAGTACTTAAGCAACGTTGATCCTCGTATACGCTTATTAACTTTCCCTATCAGGCAGACGGAAAATATTCTAGATAAGGTGACACATCGGTTGGCTTACATATGCATTATGTTAATGACCTCTTGTGTATAATCACTGTAATCTATTTATACAATGGCAAAGAACTAATGGTCATCTCTTCACAACTCACACTTCAAAACTCCTTAAATGGATGCTAATTCAAATGCTACAAGTGGTACTGGAGTGTATTTGATTAGCGTATCACTTGTTTGATATTTGCCTCAGATTTACTTCTTTTTACATTGAAATGGTATTAAGATAATGAGTAGTTTCTTAAGATTTATCGTGTGTACTATAACTCTTACCGTGTGGATACGCAATGCAAGAAGCGACTGTCTTTGAGAAAGCTCCGGCTCCCATGAACTCGAGGAAGTCTCTAGGAGAGCGCTGGTCGCTGGGCACACCGTCCACGCTCCTCGCTGCCATCAGTCTCGCCTTTACACCCTCGTACAGCACGAAGTGAACCACAGTCTCACTGATGCCCATGTACGAAGCTGTTATACCTTTGTAGAACCCCCTAATACCCTAAAATAAAACAGAATTTTCAGTATAACATGTTTTAAATTTTTTACATAATTTATTACTTAATACCTATTTTATTAGAGACGTATTGTAAAGTTCGGTACCGTTTTTGCGTATATCCTTTTAATACACTGCAACGCTGTGACATTCTGTCCGTCCAACTGCAGCCGCGTCTTTACAAACCAAATCGGATTGGTCATTGTGCAAGACACAAAACCTGCAACATATTGTTTTTTGTAATCGATGCGTGATGAGCGTAGACTTGTTTATTACAGCTATGAATAAAGCAGGGTTAGGAAAGAAAGACAATGTGATAACATAATGTTTATTTTAGTCTCCATTTTCATATCTCATAATATAAATGAGCGCGTTTCATGACACAGAAACTCGAGTAAATAATTCAATTCATAAACAGCGTGTAACGTTCATTACCTGCAGCGCTAGCTGCGGATAGGTGCACGATCGGGGTGTCCGGTGATATGTTTTGATTCAATATCGCCTTGGCTTGCGAGTACGTGCAGAAGTATATGGCCCTAGACGGTGCCACTCCAACTATGTTGGGTCCTAGGCCTTTGAACAATGCTCTAGGGCCCTCAGTCTGGACTATATGTCTGCAAAAACAAATTGCTGTCAGTATATCACCTTTGCACTTACGTCGGTGATAATTATTGAGTTAGCTCGTGACGTAAATGGATATCTCGTCCATTGAGATAATATTTTAATGTCAACATACAAACTATAAATACAGAGTTCGGTTGAGGTCGAGTCCTAACCTCGAGAAAGCTTAACTTTAATGTGTTTTGAAGGAGTCGTTACTTGTTCCTACATCCGAGATAGTGGTCTAATAAAAAATGCAAACCGATAAGCAATCAGCGGGTATTGGCAGCTGACTGCTAATCTGCAAATACTGAGCGCACCAATGGGGTCGCGATCGCGAATCCGGCCCACGTTCAGCTCTCGTGACACTTGGGCATCACACTTGTTATCTATTAACATACTCTTGATAACCGCACTAGTTGGAAGCGGTTTCAACTTATTCTTTGTGTCGGTGTCTGATTATTTAAGTACACACTAAATTAATTTTTATATCTCCATTTCATTGAATGTAGAATTGTGACTTTCCACTCAGATTTCATACATCGTGGTCGTTGCATTTGAATAAGTAAACAGTAGAATGAAAGGTCAACAAGACTGTTATGTTTGGTGTACACTTTAGCAGCGTAGAAGCCCCAATCAGTCACGGAGTGGCTACAAGCCAAAACGACACTTATACATATAAAATAACACAGCAGCGAACACCTCACACAACTATAAACGTAGTTGTGTCGGAAATCAAATTTATAAGTCCAAGAATAGGCGGCGTGCTAACGGAATATGTGGGAAGGAAATGGACAGACGCGATATATCGTGATTGCAAAAAACACGAGATGTCATTTATGGACTTGATGCGAAACACGTGCAGAGATAATTATGTTGATACTAAACACTATAGAGAGAGGGTCTTACCTGATGCACTGTATAAGGCTCATCCTGGACGGTGGCCTGGCGTGTCCCGCCCTCGCACACTGCTGAACCTGACAATTGTACGACATCAGCATACGATCTGCTTGCTTGCTGTATGCGAACATCGCGCCCATCGTACGTCTGTAGCCCCATTTGGCCTCCTGTATTATATGGCCAATTTATTATAACCATCGCTTGTGTCGAGCACGCATGCGGTCAGGGATAAATGGGTTATGTTAGCAGTCACAGATAGAGCTAGGGGGTAGCAAGCAATTTGGTTAACAACATCAACTAGTACTATGTACACAGCATTTGTATAGGACTCTTATTCCAACTATAAGCTGACTTTGAATGTTCGTGACCTTCGATTAGCGCAAATATTTTTGTATGTTCGTGAAAAACACAAAATTTTGTTATAACACTGTTTTCTATTCTAGAAACATAAAGCAAATCTTTGTGCGCTTTACACAAGTGATGGAAACAATGGGACCTAGGCAAATGTTAGGGCCAAATGTTTCCATACTG